GCATATGCTAATCTGAGTCAGCTCATGTATGCAGGAGTCATTTTATAGTCCTGACCCCATTCCATTCTTAGTGAGCCCAGACACTATTTACACAACAATCAGAAAATAGTGGAAGGAATGGTCCTGAACTATGTTGCTACTGTTGCTATGTTGGCTACTGTTATGAAAATGGCAACATGTTGCAGAACAGTTACAAGGTATTATTCAGTCAGAGATCCAATAAAACTTAGAGACAGAGAAGCAGCCATTATTAATACATGTTCTATGGGCAAATAGGGCCTTAGTAGATGTGAAGCTTTCATAAATGTTGCTTGCTAAAGGTAATCTGTAAATTCCCTTTTCTAAAAGAGAAATTATTACAGCCAAGCATTTATGACCCTCTTTACAGCCTGCACTTCTTGCTCACCTTCTAACAAATTGAAATTCATCTGACCTTGTGTTTTCAATCTGTGCTTTTGTTATTTAAAGTTGAATTATCTACCATCGTGGCTATCTTGTTTTCAACCAGTCAGTGATATATTCTTAATTCTTAATGTACTAAGCTTCCAATATAGATGATGTCATGGAAAGTCATTATAGCAACCACCAGTGTGCCTATTTAGTGAGAAGCAGGACTTAGCCCACATACCAAAAGGCTCCTAGAATTAGGTTGACTTTTAAACTGGTAGAGCCTGTGGATGGAGATGCATTGCTGGCCAATGCATCTGATATATAGAATATTGCAAAGTCAGTTATACCAGGCCAGACCTGAAGTCTCCCAGGATCTTCCAGTCATATTTGAATGTGCACCTAGTCACAAACTATATGCCCTTGTTTGACAAAGCAACCATCATAGTAAAGAAACCATTGTAAACCCACAGCACCTCTATACCAGTTCAGCCAAACCTACAAGCAACTCATCCATAACCACAAAAGGAAGCAGCTTTCACAGTAAAGCAGAAGTCAGGGTAGATGTTGAGGCATTAGAGACCTTTCTTCAGGAAATATTTGAACATCACTCAGTGGAGGAAACAGATAAATGCCCATCTCTAGCAAGATCATTACACTCCAAAACCCAAAGACTTTCAAAGAGGTGAAGTCACCTCAGTGGATGATCTAATACCAGGTAGGCAGTGACAAAGCATTTGTTGATACATGACCCGTACCTACCACTACAACCTCCAAAGGTTAGGCCAACAGCCCTTGGAGTGAGATGATGGTAAAAGCCTAATTTACAATTACAACACTGCTAGCAGAGATGCTGAGGATCTGCTGGGTGAATGAACGAGCCTCAACTTCCAAGGTACCCAAGATGCTCCGGGAAATTATGTATATTGTGCATTATTTTTATTTTATTTTAGTAATTTAAGGGCTGTGTGCATTATATGTAATTCTGGGTTTTGTCTTCCTTCTTTTCTTATATATATATATATATATATTAATATATTTCTTTTTCCATTTTTATGTATTATTTATATTAATGTAACATGCAAAACTATTCACCTTAAATATAATTCTGATATGATCTCTAATGTGTGTTTTCTTTTCTTTGTATTTTTGTTTTTGTTATGATGTCGTGAGACAGATCAGTTTTAAAGCTATTTAGTGTCGGATTGGTTTTTAAGTTATTGTTGTAGTTCATTTTAAAAGGTTCATTGTACATTTTTTATTTTATATGTTTTGTTAAGGTTTTTTCTTTTTTTTTTCATTTATTCTATTGAAATAGTTTACAAGTTTTTAGTGAAATTTTATTGCCAAAGGTCTGTGTGGATATATGTATTTTCCTTGATTATTAAAGATTAAATTCATGTTTTATTCTATCCTTTATGTTTATAATGCGTTTTCATTTGTTATGTTAATCATTTTTGTAATTGTATTGTTATCAAAGGGACTAATCTGCAACCTTATTAAAGTTCTTTGTGTGTTGTATTAAATATTCCAAATGTATTGAGTTTTATTTGTAAATGAAAATGTCATAATATGTTAGCATTTGCTAATCTGAGTCAGTTCATGTATGTAGCAATCAGTTTTATAGTCTCAACCCCATTCCATTGATATTGGGCCCAGGCACTATTTACACAAAAATCAGAAGATAGTGGAAGGAATGGTCGTGAGTTGAAGGGTAAGCTACATGTTAAATGGCTTATATCACCTTACTTTCTGGAGTACCCCAGTGAGTCAACAGTAAGTTCATTGACTTACAATGTTAACATACAGGGGATGACTCCCTGTGGTGGACAGAATACACTCAAACAAACCAAATTGATTATATTCTGCTGTATTTCATTGTTAAAGGTTTTATTATGTGTTGTAAATCATTGTTAAAAGGCGTTTTTAATTGTGATACTGTAACCATTTCTTTGTCAAAAGGATCTTGTTTTTATGCTACACCTTTATTGTTTAATTGTTTTTGAATTTCGCGCAAAGCTACACGAGGGTTATCTGCGCTAGCCGTCCCTAATTTAGCAGTGTAATACTAGAGGGAAGGCAGCTAGTCATCACCACCCATCGCCAACTCTTGGGCTACTCTTTTTAACACCGAATAGTGGGATTGACCGTCACATTATAACGCTCCCACGGCTGAAAGGGCGAGCATGTTTAGCTGGACGGGGATTCGAACCCGCGACCCTCAGATTGCGAGTCGAGCGCCCTAACCACTTGGCCATGCTGGGCCTCTTTGTTTAAGGGTTGTGTTTAAGGGTTGTGTCAATAATGTGTTGTAAGTGTTTATAGGTGAGAACTAGTAACACATTCCTTGACCAGGATGTCAGTATAATATTTATTATTTTAAAATTAAAATTGATTGTTGGCTTGAAGACAGGCCTGAAATATTGAAGAAAGGGAAGTGTAGTATACAAACATACAATGAGTTTCTACCTTCTTATTTTAATATAGTATTATTTAATCGGTTACTTCTGAGAATGCGCAGTTTCCACACAACATGTAGTCAAGAAAGTTATTAATTTGATACCATTCTAGCTGCCCTGTTCCTTCTAGTACTATTGAGGCACACCCGTACCCATAGGTAGTATTGCTGTAATACTGTACGTTGTACAAGAATGTAAAAAAACAGTATCTTTCATGGGTAGGTCAGGTAACATTTCGAGCTTTCAGTCTCCCCTGTACTTCAGTGAAAATCATCAGTCACGTATGTATTACTAGCCATGCTGGGTAAATCCCACTTTATCTGAAATCTAAGTAACGTTGAATTTAGACAGGCTAGTAGACGATCTCAGCCTTGTCATTTCAAATGGAAGTAACCTGATCAAGTACTGGCCATAACCACGTGTCTATAAGAGCAATTAATCTCACTTTGTGTTAAATCTGCTGTAATGAAGATTGTTAAATTGTACATTACACAGTTTCCAGTCTTCTTTATATCACTCTTATGAATTCAATGACTTTGAGATGCAGTACTACTTCATAACAAATATATTGTTATACCTCCCGTAATTAAGCGGTCCTATCCCACTGCTCCAAGGTTGACTCAGATTTAATTGAATATATGACACATTTCCAAAGCAAGTGTATTGCCTCAGGGTAAGAGATGAAAGAAACTGTAAGTTTAAAGAAACTACAATGTTTTGTTTTTAGTAATTTTCCTTGCGAACAAAAATTCCACCTTATAAACAGTTAACAAAACATCTACAGGATAATATCAAGTACTGTTAATACAACACCCACAGTTTCAACTCGTTATGCATATGACATATACCATAAGTAACAAACTCTTATATAGTCATAATTTACATCAATTCTCTATTCCTCTGCTCTCTTCTAATACCATACCTTCCAATGACCTAAATATCATATAACAATCTCCTCAAATGATACATTTAGCACATATATCTACTGTTCATTTCTTCACAATATTGAAATTTCTCTATAAAGATATGTGTGTTAATTAACTTAATTTGTTAATTCATGTTATTCTTAAGTGTGTCCGATATTTTTGCAACATTTATTTACATAATTGCAGAACTTCAATAAACAAATAAGAGACGATCAAACATCTTTCAATATTGCTACAAATTTATGTTTTTATTCGCATTTTTATAAAGTTTCTAGTCCCGCCTTGAGCCTTTTTGATTAAAAGAATTAGAACCCAAATAAAATAAAATCATAATTCTGCTTGACGAAAGTGTCGTAAGCAACAATACTGGGAATCTTATTCCTAGAGTAACAAAAACAAAATACTGTTACGTCTCCGTTTGTTAATTAACTTTCCGTAACTTCGTTCCGACGAAACTTTAGCGACACAAGTCCTTACTTAATAAAACTGGTTTATTCTTTCCGAATACAACTTTACGATACACTTATTTTCAATATTCGCGCTAAAACAAACGCTATATCAACGAATGTCAATAATACTTCTGACTGCAGTTCAATTACTCACTATCTTCACACACACATTACATTATTCACGTTGTCACCCTCTTTTATATACCAGACTACCCCATCTAGTAAATGCTAGGGCATTCATGAAGGAACAAGATAGTTCTAGAAACTAGAGGGCGTGAGAATAGTCACGTGATCTCGATGACGCAACAATACATTGGTGTTCGAAGGAACAGTAATTGTTTATAGATAACTGTACTATTTCTGGTCAATAAAAAGTCAATAAATGGAATCCTAAGGTTATGACAAAGCTCAAGATACACAAAGTATTTTTTGTAGTATTTTTTTCTTTCTGTCGTAGAGTGAGTGCACTTAATTTTCATGATTATTTGTTTTCAAAACTTGAAGTGATGTTATATTAAATTATATGATTTAAAATATCTGTGTTCAAGTTATGACACTAAAATTGTGTAGAATTAAGTAATTTACTTAGTAATTCTATAAAAGCTACGCCATGGGATATCTGTGATCTGCCCTCCACAGATATCGAAACCCGGTTTCTAGTGTTGTAAGTCCGCAGACATGCCGCTGTGCCAATGGAGGGCGTAAAATAAAAAAAGGGAAATTTTGTAATAAGAAATCCGATAATTTTTATCTTCAAAACTTTTAGTATCTCCACCTAGCGGTTAAATCAAGTTTGGTTATGATTTCGGTTTTGGATTTAGTGAATTGAGCAACGTAGTATTACTATTAGTCATTACGTGAAAGAAAACTTCAAGAAAAAGTGGCTATAATTTGCAATAACAACGACATTTCGAGTAATTGCACTATCAATTGTGGTGAGAATAAGCAATTTACTTATTTACTTTAGTATAAATATTTGTGTGAAAATTATACTTCCAGTTTAGTGTTACACTCACAGTTAATAGTAATAGTATTGTGAAATAATATGACTGAGTTAATATAAGCGTTATTAATAATGATATTGATTTTTTTTAAATTAAAGGATAACACTAACAGGGAACTTTTGTTTTTATGTAGACCATCTCATCCAATAAACATTAAATAAATGTAAAACAATGAAGGCATATCTTTATTATTTTTATTTGTTTTAGAATTGTCAGCATAGTTTATCTAGACAGACATAAAATTAAGATCTTGACATGCTATTACTAATCTTTTAACATGTACTTATAATATTAAAGTCTCATTTAAATGACAACAAGAGACCTTTTGGTCTATCTAGGCCATCCTATCCAATAAATTTAACTAAACATTAAAACACTCAGAACTTGCCCTTATTCAAATACTTATCAAGTAAATTCTCTTACATTAACTGCATCTACTATGTCTGAAGGCAACCCATTTTAAAAGCCAACTACCTTGTTATAAAAAAAAGGCTGTCTTAGCTGAAGTCAATTCTTACCCAACCAAAATGTATTTGTATCCCCTAGTCTTACCATTCTCACCATTAAATACAAAAACACCATCTTTTCCCTTAAGAATCTTAAACATTTCAATCAGATCCTCTTTATCTCTTTTTTTTTTTTCAAGAGAAAAGTTCAGATATCTTAACCTGTCCTCATATGTCAACCTTTCCATCCCAGTTATTATATTGTGATGTTGGTATATGCTGAGCTGAGACACATAAAAACTTAACTACCAAGCTAAGAAAGAAAGAAGTATCGAGTTAACAGTTTTTGTTACTGTTGATTCTGCAGTTATTACCATGTGGATTTTAATCTATTGAGGACTGATTGTACTTGCCATTCAACATGTGAATGTCACTTGTCTGGTGTTTGTAAGTTGTTTTGTGTTACTTATCTTCCTGTGTTAACATTTTTTGGGATTACTTGTTATTGAGCTAGTCAAGGGTATTGTTGACAACCTAGTTCTACATGAACATAGAACAAGATTGTCTCATAAGTTGTTTCTCATGTGATGTTTTTTTCTCAATAAATAGATGTTTGCTAAAAGTTAAGAGAAAACAGTTGTCAGGCAATAACCATTTTGTATTGTGTAGTGACCAGTAAAATAATTTGTAATCAATCGCTGTGATTGGCAGTGGTTTTATCTACCCAAAAAGGCTGCTGATGACTGCACATCTTAATAATATTCCTGCAGCAAGCTTACATTGTGAAAGGACCTGTTGGAAGCTGTAAAATCTAAAGCTCACCACTCTTGCTTGTTGATTTCCATAATCCATTTACTGTATAAGGTCACTAGTTTTCTAGTACCTGTTTCAACAGTTCAATTACACAGCAATCCATAGCCATTTCATTCTCCAGCTGCTTGTGTACATGTGATTTGTGTTGTTTTTCCAAATGGTGATCCTTTATGACTGTTGGGCACTGCTTTCTTGGGCATGTGAGTAGTCCTTGTTCAATAGTTTATCCACATTTCTTTGTTTTCTAATGCCAGTAGGCAGGAGGAATATCCTCTTCTTACAAATATTAAAATTCCAATCAGAATATATCCTTATGATTTAAATATATGAATCTTTTGTGTTGGGAACAGCTGTTAAATTTCTTTGCAAAACTGGTCAATTTTCAGTGGCATCACACTACCTACAAATTCTAAACAATGTTAAGATATAATTCTGATACATTGTTACATTTCCACTTTATATCGGTTATAATTGTCATGTTATTTGCATATGGCATATTGTTTTAATATTATATATTCAACTCTATACATGTGATACTCCGTTCTATGTGACAATGTGCAGTATCATTGCACTTGCTTTTTATTTAGTATTCTTCTGTAAAGTTGAAACACTCATATAAGTATTAATATTTATAATAATCATTACTACAGTATAGCAGAATACAAATTACTAAATGAACTATCTGACACAAAATACAAAATAAAGCATTGACATTTGCATAAAATAACTAGTTCAGTATATTACAAAAAAAAGAAATAACTCTTCAATATAAATCAAATAATGTGATCTTACTAACTCCTATACATACATAAAATTATACTGTTTACCCAAGTGGGAGAGCAAAACATAAACTGGTTATATAACAATGGGATAAGGTTAAGGATATGATGATTAAATGCAAGCAATGAAAATATATCATGAAACTCACCAAATATAGAATCAAAATTTTATATCTAATACTCTTGTTTAAAAAAAAAACCAAATATTCTACACAAAGAATAAAGTAATAAACACAAAGCAATATATAGATACTTGTATATACATACAATAACATAAATTAAGAAATATTGCTCACTCAGAATTGGCTTGGGACTTTATTTCCACCTCACCTTAAACCCATTATCAGATTCTCCATTCACCCATTGTTTTACAATTGACTACAATGGTTGTTTTCAGCATTTCCCCAGATTTAGCCACGGTCCTCTTGGTATTGGTGATAACTAAAATATAAAAAGTAGAAACTTCTTAGGTAACATTATTTGTTTAGATGACAAAGCCAGTAAAGCTCTTGCAGTTACCACATGCTTGTTGTATATTTGCCCTAAGCTGTACCAGAAATGTACATGTTTTACAAAGAAAAAAAAACTTTTGATATTCATGTAGGAGATCCTAAATTATTTCGAAATTAAATATGAAAACTACAACATGAAAAGAAGTATTTTTAATCCCAGCATGAAAACTACCTTTGATTCAGAGTGATTCAATGAAGGCTTCATAAATTCACAAACAAGTATTTAGTAAAAATGGTCATATTAAAAAATCTGACAACAGTGTTGTAACATTTACTAAAGGCTTGCCAAATTTTGTAAAGATACTCTTAAAACATTCAGAATTATAGTATGTATAGTTTCATGGTTACAGGTGGTTATAAACTTGATCAAATTGATTGAGCCTATATACAGAGGATTAACTGAGTTTATCTCCTGGCTCTAGTCCTTGGCTCATATATGGGGTGAAATAACATAGCAGGTAGACATTACATATTCCAGAGTTGTTGAAAACATTTTGATCTACTTCATATACCGAATGTGAAAACCAAAATGTCATTATTTCTTTAGTAGTGATATACAATGTTCCCTCTGAGTGGTGCAGCTGCACAACAATTAATCAACTGCCTTTCACTTATTCCAGCCACGTGCATCCTTAGTAATTGTGAGGAGTCTGAACATGTTGACGGCCTTAATGACCCTGGCAGTCGATAGGCCTAAAGCCCAAATAACCCATTAGTAGCATTACAAAGCAGCCTAATGATCCAATAGGGTCAACGGTATAAAAATACCCCCCTCATCCCCAAAAAAATTAAAAAACTGGTAGTGCATATCTGCACATTGCCTTGATACTAGTGCACATGAAAAATTCATACCACACATGGATTGAAAGAGGAATCAAGTGTTTCAAGGCTAGTTGCAAAAGTGTTGAATGGTAAAAGCAGCACATGGTTGCTTAAAACAGTGAAAGCTAAACTTTGGATTTTACAATCTGCAGATTTCATATAAGTTATTATTTGAAAATTGTCAGTGCTCTTTCCAACTGCTCACATGTAAATCGAAAAGGTTGATTATCTGTTTGTATAAAAGTTGTTCAGACCTGATGAAATATCCCAATAGATTGTAGAATCTGTAGGGTTAGCATGAAAAAGTTGAAGGGAGGAAAATACTGAAATAGATTATGCAGTTTTGAACTCTTCACAGATATCTGGAAAATATGTGCAGACATTTGGTATAAACCTAGTGAGGAAAGTTGCATCATACAAAATAACCCTTTCCAGATGGGTCATGGATGAAAAGCCATGTGATCGTGTTTGTTGACTCACATTCAAAAATTTTATTGAACTACTATTTCATGAATGTATGTCAATAAGTTTGGTATGAAATTGTAGATTATAATTTAAATTTTAGTATGATTCATTAGTTAATACCTTATTTAAAAGTAAATATTAAAAAAGAAATCCAAGTTTTGTGTGTCACATATGTTGAATGCAGCACTGGTTCAAATTAGATGTATGTGATGTCAAATTACTAAGTCTATAGTTTTTTACGAATTAGGAACTCAAATTACCGATATTGACAAGCTAGAATATAAAATAAGAACCTCTTGTCTTTTCTATTCACTAAGATATTGCTCATGTAATAAATCAAGCACAATGGCACCTCTTTCCATTTTTGGAAATGCTCCCATATTAAACACTTCTATATATGACATGAATAACCAATTGAAAGCTCAGAATGTCCCCCTAGTGGCTTTCTCAGCTATTTTCAAGTATTATGACATCAGCTCATTCTTTCTATACAAGACTTCAAGTTGGTAAGTTTAGTCTTCATTCTGCTCAAAATTTCATATTTTTTAGACCCAAATACAGCTTAGTTACTAAACTTGATAAAGTCTAGTGGGATTCTATGG